GCGATGGTTGCGTCGTGACGGTGCGCGTCTTTGGGCCTCGTAAGGCGTCGAGGGCGGCGGCGGCGGTCGGCCAGACCTTGGCATGCGGCCTCCCCAACAACACTGCAGCGTGGCATCCTCGGCGTCACATTCGTCTTTGCTCCGCGCCTCGTGAGCTGGCGTTCAACCGGTTTCGCCATGGAGAGGAAGACCTGGCGAGATCACAACGATGACGGCGCGGAGCGCGATCAGCGGGATTAGACGGTGGCAGGGGAGATCGGGTCGATGAGCAAGTAACTCCGCAACGGTGCGCGATGGGAGGAAGGGTCGACGAGCAGGGTTGGGCTCTGCAGCGGCGGTGGGTAGGCCGGCGAGATAAGTCTCTGCGGCGGCGGTGCATCGGCCGGCGATCGTGGGGATCGGGCGCGCGAAAGTTAGGGTTCTACTGAGTGAGGAGAGAGTCGCGATGAGCGAACCGTCTCGATGATACCATGAGAACGTATGATTTGGGGAATACTCATTGTATTACTCGGGAAAAATCAGTGCATACATATAGGCACGGTGGGGAGCCTAGGTCGGCAGGCCCACGGGCTGGTTTACACTCTAACAAGAAAGAGGCAAGAGCCCCACTTGAAACCCTCAAGCCATCTGGTGGCTAGAGTCCACTAAAAAAAAACTGGTGACTAGAGAGCTGAGAAAAGTTCTCTGAAACAGCAGCAAGCCAACGCAACTGAAGGCACACAAAACGTAGCTACAAAACTCAAAATATGCGAGAATGAACTGCTGCTGCTGTGAAAATCGGCTTGCCGATTGGCCAAATCGGCCTGGCCGATCGGCGCTCAGCCTGGCGAGCGCGTGCTGCAGGTGCGGCAAGCGGCCTGGCCTGTTCGGCGCTGGGCCTTGGCTGGGCGAGCACTCCACCGAGCTTGGGCGAGCAACCGCTGGGCCCAGTCTGGCCAACAATCGCACAGCCCACCTGAGAGGAGCAGGGGCGCCTTCCCCCTCGGCCCAGCTGGCCCGCAGTCTGGCTGCGCTGCCTGCAGGCGATGTGCGCTATGTCCTTCGGCCTGGCCGGCCCCTCCACACGGATTGGCCGAATGCCCACAGGGGTGCGTCAGTGCGTGGCCCAGTCAGTGCGACGGCTTAGCGGGTTCCTAACTGGATTTCCTCTTCCAGAAATCCCAAAGGCGATCAAATCATCTTAAAAAATCCCAAAATTTGCATAGATGATTCATATTAGATGACATCTCCAAAGAATCATGACCCACAAACACCAAAAACTCCGCAGGTCTTGGAATCCATCAAAGACAATGAGGTTTTCTCAATTTTTCTTCACAAAGGTGGAGAATCGCACTCGTGATAAATCTGCCTGATTCACTTGGCAGGAATGATCATCAAAGGTCCTTGCACGAATTCATCCAACCAAAACGACTCAAAACCTCATGAACCAAAGATCCAATAAAAGAGCAAACAGAGGGAGACCGGGAAGGAAAAAAACTCAAAACCAAATTATCCGCGAATCAAGACACAGATCTCATACGAATGATTTCTTTTTTGCTCTAGATCAACCAGGTCTGATTCTTTACAGAGGACAGGATTACAAAAAAAACTAAACTTAGACAGTGTATCAGTAGGGTCTCAACAGCACAAACTAAAGACTAGGAAAACCTAAGTCTGGAAATGAAAATAACCGAAGAGATGGCTCGTTGGGGGCAGCCTCTATCTTATTTATACAACTATTAAACATTCCCAACATACCCTTAGATATTTACGTTGAACCACTTAACCCTAGGGGCAAAATGATCCAAGTCTTGATTGGTGCATCCAATGGCCACGCGCACTTTACGACTTTGCTTCGCCTCGACGCAAGCTTCGCAATGATGCCACATGCCTCCTCCCGTTCCCGCTGGAACTCCAACCGGGTTTTAAGGCCCAAACTTGAGAAACCGCCCGTCGGTGGTTTTGAGACCCATACCACCAAACCGTCCACACCTGGTTTTGACGCCCAAACCAGCTAACCGTCCTCCGATGGTTTTGAGGCCGAAACCACCAAACCCCACTAGAGAAGTGTATCTGCACCTCCTCCACTCTCTCGACACGTGTCACCGTCATCTAGACCGTTCGATCACCAAGTCCTCTAGCGCCCTGCTTGACTTGGTCAACCACCGTCTTGACTTGGTTAACACGGTCTACTCCTCTGCATGTCATCTTGCCTGTTAATGTCCCCAAGTGTCAGCCACCACGGTCAGTCTTGCAGCCATCTTAGTCCCTCAGTCCAAGCTTCACGTCCATCCTTCACTGCTCTTGGTCCATTGGCATGACCCGTCTCTACTTGACCTTCACCATGTCCGTCGACTGTCTCTGAGCTCCACACCTGCACACCAACACAGCCAAGAGACGTGTTGCACACACACTCACGCAATGGTTAGCCGCCAAACTCAACCAAAGCCAATCATCTCCGACAATCACTTATCACAAACTCGATACACAGGGGCACATATCAACCTTATGTTCGCAGAAATATTTTGAAGCCTTTAGTGATTCTTTACTAGTTGTACATCAAAAATTGTTGGTGTGTTTCAATGTTTGAAATGAACACTTAATGCTTATCTTGACAAATGCATTACATATTTTGCCGTATTCCGAATTCGGCATATTCCAAGGCATTAGAATAGTAAGGCTAGCATGTTGGATCAACAAGCACGAGGCTTCACTGTTAGGAGACTTGTTGCTTATAAAAAAATGAGGTACATCGAAGAACTGCGGAAGACTTCTTGCTTAAGTGCTTGGATTCTGATCAATTAGAAGTGGTAATTGGAGAGGTTCATGAATACATCTGAAGTGATGCTAGGAGTGCTAGCGGTGTGGCAATATTCAATTGGTGCTTGTTGCGATGATTCCTCTAATTTTTAGGAGTTGATGGCCAAGCTATATGAACAAGACTTTGATCAAGCTTATTAAAAAGAAATTGAGGGCAATCCCAACAGATGAAAAATGACTCGTATTGCCTTAGCATAAAAAAGGAAAAAATGAGAACAAGTTCGACAAGTGATATCCAAGTTGGAAAAGTCCATATAAAATGATCGAAGCAGTGTGGAAATTCATATATGCTAGAGACATTGCAACAGGTGACCATCTCCCAAGAGAAATTAACGGGAGATATATGAAAAAGTATTTCCCAAGTGTTTGGCAAGAAGCCTAAGTATTGTCCAAACCATGGCTGATATACAATATCGCTCTAAGAACAAAAAGGGGAAAATGCATGCATCACCCTTAGTATACAACTAGCTGATGAGTTGGACATCGATGCTATTTACTTATGTGTTTTTAGACTCACGTAAATCTCACCTAAAAACTGGGGAGCATATGTTGACAGCCAAAAGTGTCAATAGAGGCTAAACCAATAAATTCCTACAAAAATAGGCTTAGTCGGTTTCCCAAACTAGCTAAGCTAGTTTTGGCACTTTGTCAAAGGCATAAAGGACTCCAGCACTATGTTCACATCGTTAAAACGATCTAAAAACATATATGGATCGTCCAATTTGGAGTTCGGATCGAAAACAAGATTTCGAGATGCTGGCCATACCGGTTTTTTTTTAATTCTCTAAATTGAAGAATGAACTGTACCATTGCATTTCTCTTGTCGAGTTGGTCAAAAAGCATATATAGATCGTTCAATTTGGAATCCGGATAAAGAAATTATGGCTTCCAGAAGGCTTTCACCCTGTAAAAAATGGGTTTTTCTAATCCGAGCCCGAATTGAGTTTTTCTCGATGGAAACTCGCCTAATATCTTGAAAAACTTGTAAATTTTGTTTGGGGAAAGTTTTCCTACTAGGAAGAAAGCACTCCCCTCTACATATATATTAGAGGATCATGGCTCATTGAGGTAATCTAACCACACAATTGACAAAAAAACATCTACTTCACCTTTTACCTTCTCTTTCCCATCTACTACTACTCATTCTTTTGTTGCTGCTGCATGGTCGGTGGATCAACGACGACGAAACTCATCTAGAGCGGTCAGGCGGGCTAGGGAAGCTCATAACTATCGCACGCCCCAACGAGGTCCCTCCTGGTCATGTGGGATTTTGGATTTCAAGAGAGCACATCGGCGTGTCTTGCGTATTGCGCTCATCGCTGCAGGCACCAGATGATGTGTTCGCAACCAAACATGCTGCTTGGCGTCGACCGACTTAAAAGTCGGCTAAGCTGATCTTTGACCGCCTATAACAAGGGATCTAGCTCTTTATATGTGCTGACCGCATAATAGAATCTCCTACAACTAAAAAGAACAAAGTGTGGACACCGTTTTGGTGCGACAATTATCTTGGTTCGTCCATCTACCACCCCATGCGATCGATTCCACCTCCCACGCTATCCAACGGGCGAGCGAGAAAAGGAAAGCCCACGATTTGTCCCCGCCCGTCACTCCAACCACGCACGCGATCAGCGCGAGACGCCGCCATCGCCGCAGGCCCTGTGACTATGACAAAGGAAGGAATTGCCATGATAAAGGAAGGAATTGCCGCGAGAAAGGAATGCATCGCCGCCTATCGCACTCGCGCTCGCTGGGAAGGAGATTTTTCGTGCCACGGAGTCAGGCGACTACGACGCGTTCACCTCCCTCATCACCGCCACCTCCTCGACGTCACCGCCGCTGCCGGCCATCCTCGGGCACCCAGAGGACGCGGGGAGAGCGGAGGATGCAAGCGAGCGTGAGATCCGCTCCGCCCGAGCTGGAGCCACGGCCCCCATCTCCTGCTCGGCCTCGCCATCACCATCGCTGCCCTGCTTGCACTCGCCTCTACCTCCGAATCTGACCATAAGGTGCGTTGCTCTCCTTCTCTCTCCCTGTCGACCTCTCCCTTGCGACCTGCTGGATCGCAGGGGCCGCGGCGGCTGCTGCTCCCCGTCCCCATCCCCGCACCACTGTTGCCCTCGCCCCTCGCGTGGCCACGCCCGCCCACGCCCGCGCCGCGTAGCCCTCCAGCTCCGGTGGCCTACTCTGGCTCGTCGACGATGGCCGGATCTGGTGGCCGGAGTCGCAAATGCTCCTTCCCTTCTTCTCCCCCAGATCTCCACCCCTCCCTCTCTCTCCCGAGGCTCACGGCGGCGAGCGCAAGGCAGCGACACCCCCACGGGTGGTGCGTCAGCGCGAGCGGGCCCTGATGGCCCTCCTCCCTCATCCCCCCGCGGGCAGGTCCCATCCTGAAGGTCCAGCTCCGGTGGCCTACAAGAAGATGAACCCATTTTGTGTACCTTTTGCAACTACAAACATGGGTTCTTCTATACTTGCTATGGATCTAGTACCTTATATGATTAATGATCTTTCCTTGCTATTTCATTTCTTTACTCGTTTGTTGATACTTTGATAGATTTTTAGAATTCTAGGGCCAAACTGCCCCCGTCTTTGAACCATAGCCAAAAGACAAGCATCGTTTACAGCGCATCAGATGGACCACATCTGTTAACCGTTTAGCACCGAAGCCAGAAAAACTCCAACTGATTACATCAAGCCAAAGCGACCAGAACAACTAAAACTAGAAAAGAACCAAGCAAAAGGAAAACAACTCCACCAGACTCCTAAGAACACCCTTTGTTCAGTATGCTTCAGCTGGAACCTTCTTGAGGGAAACTGGTACTTGTTCACCCCGGAGATGCCAGAAGTGGTCCTGGTTTACTTCCACTGTATCCACAACACCTAACCAGCGGCTTCCTTGATGATTCTTGATTACTGAAATTGTGCTTCATATGCAGGGTTGGATGGGCCCAAATTACTCTATCTCTACTGCTTGTGCTACTATCAACTTCTGCATTCTGAATGCAGCTAATCATATCAGGAGAGGGGAAGCTGTAAGTAACTTCATTTTCTTGTGATCTCTTCTACAATGAGTAGTGTCTAATTGCAGTTGTAACCTAAACATACAGGATTTAATGCTTTGTGGTGGTTCTGATGCACCAATCATCCCTATTGGTAAGGTGTCCTCTGATTGTTAGATATCTTCACTCCCAGTTTCTTCTGTTTCATTTTGACTTGAACCTCAAATTTTCTTATGCATATATTGAGTTTACTATTTTGACCATTTAAAACTGTTAAATGCAGGATTGGGAGGTTTTGTGGCCTGCAGAGCTCTTTCACAGAGAAATAGTGATCCAGCAAAAGCTTCTCGACCTCGGGATGTGGTTAGTATCTGTAAAGCTAAGAATACTAATTACTACTTGGTAACCAAATTATTATTGATAGAAGCCAAAGGTGAGTGCTTCTATCAATCTATTACCTGAATATTGTTGCGTACTCATACTTAAAGATCTCACATGTGTGTTCATACAAAGTTGCATGTTGATCATCCAGTGAACGCTCTTAGGCCATCCTCAAATTGAGAGTTCAAACCAGAAATATTAGTGCGTGATGCATAACATGCTGTCATTGCCCGCATCAGATTTATGTACTTGGTACCTTATTGGCATTTTTGGATCTGGAAATATACTAAAAACATAGATTCGTGCCCGTGGCTTGCCTTATCGAGTGCTGCATAATTTAATACATCCTAGCTACCTCATTCTTACCATATCGAGTGCTACATAATTTAATACATCCTCCTCACAGCTAGGATTTTAGGCAAACATCAAGGGATAGTGCCCCCTCGACGAACTGTGGCTACTGGGAACTCAAGTGCTTCTACTGGTCTGAACAACTCAGTGTTGTTGAAGTTGAGAGACCGATGTAACTTGCGAGAAGACAGGCAATGTGATTTCATATACCCACACTATTTCTTTTGGTCACAGAAATATGTTCTGATGATAGTTCACTATTACAGGCACAAATTTGTTGAGCTCATTTGCATTCATCTCTACTGCGTAATAGCCATCTGTTCACTATTATAGGTCTGTATGTGTGCTATCATCTGTACTGCATAATAGCCATCTGTATCTGATACTGATATGTGTTATTACTCAAACTAAAGAGTGGTATTTTTTAGTTCTGTTCAGTGAACCTGTTTAAACTTTGGGTGTGGATATATCATATTGTGAAACGATTACATTCATAACCATATAGATAAAAATGGGAGGGTGCTACCATCATGTCTTCGCGATAGCTTTTTTGGTAACCCGTCAATCGTGTCCAATTTTCGTGTGTAGATATTTCCCTTTATTATTATCTAGCCTTTCTTTGCTTTTGCGCAGTTGATGTGGACACCAACTTGTTATCCTACATCGTCTCCTGTGGTTCTAACTTCTGATGGAATGGCATTGTTACCTATTGCAGCTCTTGGACTACGGCATGAGGGACGAATCAGAACTGCACCAGTAGAGCTGCATTATTTTCGTTCTGATTTGTTTCAAGCGGCGGTAAGTGATACGGAATCCCTCGTTATTCGTTATGATTTGTTTCTTGACTATGTTTTTTAACTTTGAGTCGCATAAGCCTGATCGGCAATCAGGCATACCACTGTTGCCTGCCCAGCAAGAGCATAGGAATAGATTCGATGCAATTTGATTTGGGTTGATGTTACGGCTAGCCCTTGTGACATATGCAGCTCTAGCGATCACTTATTTTTGTATCATAGCCAAGCTGCAGAATGTAGCTGGACTTTTAATAAGGACCATCATTCAGCTTTTCTATTTCAGCTAAGCTGCATAATTTCTAGAAAGCAATCTGGAAAGTCTTGACAAATTAAAAGTTATAGCATCACTAAATCAGTACACCATAGGTGTAGCCTACAGAAAGCAAGGCAAGGCTTTCTGATCAAGTTAACAAAAAGTGGTCTGAAAAATTGCCACAACTTTCACATCTAAACTAAGCCCTTGTTTAGTTGTAGGAATTTGGATTTTGGGGCTACTGTAGCACGTTCGTTTTTATTTGGCAAATAGTGTTCAAACATGGACTAATTAGGCTCAAAACGTTCGTCTCGTAATTTCCCACCAAACTGTGCAATTAGTTTATCTTTTCGTCTACATTTAATGCTCCATGCATAGACCGCAAACATTCGATGTGACAGGTACTGTAGCAACTTTTTGGAAATTGAGGTGGAACTAAACATGCCGTAAACAAATAGCATATAGTTGACAGTTGGAATGAGATAAGAGGGAGACGCTTGGGCGAGACAGGCTGAATTGCAGTGTACCACACACTGAACTGCAGAGTCACGTGTGAACACGTATTGCTCATTGTTCGGCAAATTGTAATACTCACTTAATTAATATATTTTCACCAGTTTACATATTATCTCACAGTCATGTCTATTGTCCATACTAATATGAATGCAAATAAAAGAATATATTGTTTTCACTCCTGTCTGTTGTTCATGGTTCGGCAATTGTAACTGGGATTGGTTTGATAGTTGATTTTCATATTCAAAATATATTTAATGGTATGACTGGTTACAAATTACAAGTCTGGGTATCTCCAAATTTCAGGTAAACAGCACAAGAACAGATATTGCAAGGTTCAGAAGAGCAGAGATTGCTGCAGGTAGCTTCGGATGGTCAACTGATCAATATACAATGATTTGGCTTACACAAACACGAAAAGCACAGAACTGCACAACATAGGGATAGCTTGTGCTCTTGTTTGTTTCCTATTCATTCTGTGTTGAGTTGTAGTTTAATTTTTGTCGACTAATAGGAGTCTGGTTGCAGAAACTCAGGTAATTTCATTGTTGATCAACTGATGTTTGATTCATTGCAATAGCTCCGATCTAAAGAAATCAATTTTCCTTTTCCTATTCTTTTTTTATCTAGAAAGATACTAAAAACATAGATCTGGCAATTGTCGCACCAAAAAATATTGTTAGCTGCCAAGATTATTTGCATTTTTGGATCTGTAAATATAGATAGATATGTTGATAAGGCACTGAATGGACTTAGTCTGTAGCTGTTTACATAATTTTATGAATGGGTGGATGTTCACGGGGAGACAGCAGATTGCTTCTTGATACGAACATCTGAGGACGGTTGATGGCGTGCTACTACTTTCATCCCGTGAAGCTGCAGAAAGGAGGGGTCTAATCGAAGAAGACAATACACTGGATGAATGTCTAACTGAAGCTACTTTATTCCAGATGCCTTCCTCTCCGCGGAGGCTATTTGCAACAATATTAGTATTCTGCGAGCCGCATGATGTGATGGGGTTGTGGAAAAAACACTACGATGCAATGTCAGAGGACTACAGCCGCAATCATCCATCCCCGGATCTGGTGCAACAAATGGTTTTGATAGACATTAGAAACATGATGCAGTCTATGGGGAAGGACATAAGGTCATTTCCTCTTCCAGATATTGATCACTCATACGACGATGCCAACCATATTCCTCGTGAGATATTTGAGGAAGCTAGCGTCGAGCAGAATCCCGAAGATATGTTATTGTGCGACTCACTCAACGCCGAGCAAAGGTCTGCCTATGATGAGATAATGGCCGCTGTCTGCAACAAACAAGGCGGGTTGTTCTTTGTGGATGGACCTAGCGGGACGGGAAAGACATTTTTGTATATGGCACTTCTCGCAAAACTACGTAGCCAGGACAAGCTTGTCGTGGCTACAGCTACATCTGGAGTCGCAGCAGCCATAATGCCAGGCGGGAGGACGGCCCACTCGCGTTTTAAGATACCCCTCACTCTTCAAGAGGGTGGTTGCTGTAGCTTCACGAAACAGAGTGGTACTGCCAAGTTGCTGCAGCAAGCAGCTCTCATAATTTGGGACGAGGCATCTATGACAAAGAGGCAAAATGTGGAAGCACTAAACAACAAGCTACGGGATATAATGGGCCGGTCAAACCTACTGTTTGGTGGAAAGACTGTTGTCCTTGGTGGGGTTTTTAGACAGGTCCTCCTTGTTGTGCGGAAAGGATCCAGAGCTCAAATAGTCGATGCTTCTCTACGAAGGTCGTATCTTTGGGAATCCATGCGCCACCTAAAGCTCGTCCGCAACATGAGGGCTCAGAGTAACCCGTGGCTTGCATATTATCTATCGCGCATTGGTGGTGGAATGGAAGAGGTTAACGGAGATGGCAATGTACGTATTCCAGACGAGATATGTGTCCTGTACTCTGGAGATACCGAGAAAGATCTTTATACATTGATTGACATCATCTTTCCAGATCTAAATGCAAACATGGCGGACAAAGACTACATCACCACTAGAGTGATTTTATCTACACGTAACGATTAGGTGGACATGATTAATATAAAAATGATTGATATGTTCCAGGGTGGCGAGACGGTGTATCACAGTTTTGACTCCGCGGTAGATGATCCACATAACTACTATCCATCGGAGTTCCTTAACAGTTTGACCCCCAATGGACTGCCTCCACATGTCTTGAAGCTCAAGCTCGGGTGTCCTGTCATATTGCTTAGGAATATTGACCCTGCCAATGGGCTATGCAACGGTACAAGGCTGGTGGTGCGGGGGTTCCGAAGAAATACAATCGACGCTGAAATCGTGGTGGGGTAGCATGCTGGGAAGCGGGTATTCCTTCCTCAAATACCGCTATGCCCGTCTGATGAAGAGATGTTCCCGTTCCAGTTTAAGAGGAAGCAGTTTCCTATCAGGCTGAGCTTTGCCATGACGGTCAACAAGTCACAAGGCCAAACTATCCCGAACGTGGGTGTGTACCTACCCGCACCGGTGTTCTCTCACGGTCAGTTGTACGTTGCGATGTCTAGAGCCACGTCAAGAACCAATATTAAGATCCTTGCCCTCCCGCCTGATGCGGAGGCACATGAGGAGGAGGCCAAAAAGATAGACAAGAAAAATGCTAAAAAGAATGCCGAGGGGAAAAATATAAGAATGCGTTAAATAAAAAAGATAAGGATAAGAAGACCCCAATAACGGATGGAACTTTCATAAAGAATATTGTATTTAAGGAGGTTCTAACGCCATAGGCGAAGTAACAGAACATTACTAACGCATATAATGCATTTTCCATTCAATTTATATTGTACAAATAATATCTCACTAATGCCATATTTGTTGCTATTCCTAGGTATTTTAAAATGGTTTATCAGACTCTACACGGAGATGTTGTATATACACTTGTGTGATGGCATAATAAAAATTGAACATGTGTTATATTATTGTTATAAAAATAACACTTTGAAAGTTTTGTTCATAATATTTCGTTTTGTAACCATTCATAACTATTACACGTGTATGTTCTCAAAACCATGAGTTTTGTCGACTTTCTCCACTTTTCTCATGTGCCAATGTGGGATCAACCGAATTAGCACTTGCATAATTACAAACATAAATTACTTGAATAAAATCAACGAAGCAAGTTAGCGATAATAGTAAACAATAGTGCTAAACAACACCATACCAGTGGTCGTGGGATGGCACGATCGTAGTGGCGTTGGTTCTGCGCATTCATGAGGATAGCTCCTTTATATTTTCCATTGTTGCACCAGGGTCATTAGTTTGTGAGCACGAAAGAAATGGATATCAGAGATTTCTTCCTGTCAATATAAAACATTATCTTAACCGCATCAAGAAAATGTCTATAAAGTAGAGTTTGTGAGCCTGCGGCGTCGCGTACTCTGTGACTGTGTTAAATTCATAAACTTTGCTTTTTGGATTAAATGTCACTTTAACGTTGGTATTTAATTTTTACAGTATTGTTATCTTATTATGTAATCCGTGTGTTTTTAGTACAAAATGTTAGCTATCCCGTAGCAACGCACGGACACGCTACCTAGTCTATGCTAAAATGCCTCTCGAGAATATATGTATATATGTTTCCTTTTTATTTTCGTGTTTCTATATATGTTGGACAGCGTGAGGAAAGGATAATGTTGACACTATTGATAAATTTCGTGTAACAAATTAAATTGAACATTTTCATCTGTTATGTATTTTCTTCTATCATCTCTCTTGCAAAAGGAACGACATATCATGGTTTCCGTGTACGTAGCAAGTAAACTGTTATCCTACTATCCTCTCTGTCCTTCCAGATGATCCACAGATCTAGGGTCTATTGAACGCCTCTGTTAGGCTGATACATAAGCCGGCTGATAAGTCGGCTGAAGCTGTTTTGTTGTGAGAGAAAAATACTGTATATTCTAGATGATAAGCCGGCTTATAAGTTCAAGCCAACATGATGTCCAAATTATTGGTCCATCGTGCCAGATACGAAGTTAATGTGATTATCGGCATATGCAAGTTCGTTGAGCATTAACGATCTGCATAGCGCATACGTACGCTTTCGGAGCAATCTGTGGGTAGGCATGCAGTAGGCTTGGATGCTAATGCTTCCGGGGCAAGAACTCCCATTGCATTGCGACGCGTTGCTTGGGTCGGCAGCTTGGCTGGGCTGTGCCGTCCAGAAGGAAAATTCGGCCGGCCAGCCGGCGGCGGCACGCTGATATATCATCGCTCCGGCCAACCCATGAATAGGAGAGGACTCCATCGACCGAGACCAATGATGCACTGGATGACTGGATCGACTGAACACGACGGAGAGAGGTTGCACGCTGCTTTCGGACGACGTGTTCGATCTGCCACGCAAATGACGCGATCGAGCCGTGTGGCCTCAGCCCGTTTTTTTGTACTTGACGCTACGCCATGACCTGACCAGCCAGTGCTGCGCTGCTCCGTTCGTCCACGGGACAGGCTCTCTCGCTCGCACCAGAAATCTTCCTTGGCCGTGCAAGTAATGGGGCGGCTGGAACCTGCGCCAACGCTATCCGCAGTCGACAGACATCCGTTAAAGGTCATGTAAACGGGCCCAACGGCGTATCTTGCACTGACTAAAATTCATCTATGGTCCTCAACATTATCTAGAGGTGTGATTGAGGTCCTCAAGACTCAAAATATTTTTTTTTGACTCTTTGAAATTATAACGGCTCCTACCTAGGTCTAAACGGATGTTTACCCGACCCGTTATCTTATGTAACATGTTGATTCAGCACTTAGATGGATTTCACAGATGAGACCCATGTGTGTGTCAGCGGCAAGATAGAGTCTTTTTATACAACCTTGGATGAAGATGATTTTTTCTATAAAAATTGTAACACTCGTTGAGATCTACAATTTTCTAATTTCGAGTTTTTTTTTCATTTGAGATTGTTAAGGTGTTCAAACAATAATATAAAGTTTTAGCAACATATTAATCGTGTATCAGGACTTGTTGCTTTAGAAAAATCATATTTTCTTGTATGATGTTGGATAAGATACTTTGCACATAAAAATTGTAGTTCTCGATGAGATCTATAAATTCCTAATTTTGAGTTATATATGTCATTTGAGGTCGCTACGATGCTAAAAGAAAATAAAGTTCCAGCAACACATTAATCGCGTACCAGATTTTGTCATTTTAGAAAAATCAAGTCTTTCTTATATAGTGTCATATAAAAATATTTTGTATATGAAAGTTATAGAGCTTGATAAGATCTATAACTTTTTGATTTTGAGTTTTTTAATTTTAAATTGTTTAGACTTTTTAAAGAAATTGATACAAAACATGATTAATATGTTGCTGAAACTTTATATTATTTTTTGAGCATATTAAGGATCCCAAATGAAAAAAAAACTCAAAACTAAAAAGCTGTAAATCTCATCGAGAGCTACAGATTTCATATATATCTTCATCCAAAATCGTATGAAAAAATACATTTCTTATGTGGAGTCTTGCTAGTGATATATGGGTTCCATCTGTCGTATCCACATGGGATAGCGGGTCGGATAATCTATTTAGATCCAGATGAGATTCGTTACAACTTCCTAAAACCAAAAATGCATTTCAAGACTGTTGATTTAGATGTGGGCGGCTGGAGGCTGCAACCTGTGCGCGGCAACTCCATTGTAGCATGCAGTTGACAGACATCCCTTAAAGGTCATGTAAACGGGACCATCGGCGTATCTTCTTGCAAAGCCCGGCCAGGTCGCGATCCTACTGGCGTTCTCATGCAACTGGCCCACCGGCGACCCAAGGGTTGAGCAACTTTTACTCCTCCAAAAGCTAAGAAAAGGATCGGAACTCGGGGATGCTTGGAAATAATGGACGTCGTCGGTGATCATTACCGCAACAGACGAACAAGCTAGTAGTAAATAATCAGCTGAGCGACCCAATCACACACACACACACACACACACACACACACACACACACATATATATATATATATATATATATATATATATATATATATATATATATATATATATATATATATATATATATATATATATACACACGATAAAGGCTATTACTCAAGGTAGCTAGCCATAGAATAAGTTATTCAGTAGCCACCTCAATTTACGATAATTTTATATATTAATTTACGATAAAATGAATACATATTTACGATAGTTGTGTTACTATAACACAGGAGGATATATTTATCATAACGTTATAGTAAATCACATAGTGCGGAGTTACTATAACCTCGTGAATTAGCATAGTAATTATCGTATCAAAGTAACTTCAAAGTTAGTATATAGAATATTTATAATATATGGCATATATATATATATATATATATATATATATATATATATATATATATATATATATATATATATCTCTCTCTGAGACGTGGGCCGTGAGCCGGTTCTGCTCCCACACGTCGGCGACACGCCCGGAGATTCAGTGTTACTGGACCGATGTATGGTTCATACGTTGCCCAAACTTGAGTGTTATACAAAAGATAGGCGAAAGATACGGGTTAGGTAAGCCTGGCCGTGGAGCTTCGAGGGTTCATTAATTTCTACCGCCTCGCCGGATTCCGGCACGCGACTCCAGCCAGCTTTTTGTTGTGCCGCGGCGAACGCGATCGCCGAAGGAACTCTGGCCGGCTCAGAGCCTTATAAATTGCTGCCCAAGCATGCCTCCGAAATCCATCTCTCACTAGCTAGCCAGCGGGCACAGCCACAAACAGCAACCACACGTTCTTCGATCTGTCAGCCAGCAGCGCTCCAGTTTCTGCCTCGTTTGTTCCTTCCGCCTCTCCTTGATCAATCGGTTGATATGGCGTTCGCTGAGGTATGTGTTGTACATAATGCATCAAAGGTGTTCAATGACGGTGAAATGGACTTACTGTGAATTACTAGCACCATGCATGCCGTTGAATACGTTATTTTCTCTCTCTCGTCTGTATAGTGTGTAGAGACAACCTGAAAACATGATACAAGTTGGTGTCCAATCTTGGGTCCTGTCACGTATATGGTCCGCAGTAGTACTACTAGCGTGCTCACCAACCGCTCGAAATCATAGTTTATTTGAAACCTACAACAACTTGACGAGAATTTTCTGAACAAAGATGTGCTCGGTCCTCGGTGCACTCATGGTCTCATGTTCATTGTTCAAGGCACCTCTGTCACTGGCTTGCCATTCCTTCCTTTAAAGCCAAGCATCCAAGCAACCCAGTAACAGATGTCGTCTTACTTGCATTTCCTGAGCTGTCATCCGATCCATGGCATGCAATTGACAAGCCTCCGAATCCAATCCAGCTGCTGTGATATGATGTCCTCGACAGCACACCGTTCGTCGTTCGTCGTCTGCTACTGCTAGCCGCCAGCGAGCGATCTCCGACACGCACGCACCGAGCGTCCCACGACATGTGTCTAACTGCCTATGTCTCTTTGCCTAAACGGCTCTGCTTTTGTGTCGTGCCGCGCGCAGGAGGAGACGAAGACGACGGCGCACCTTGGCATGAACCTGATCGACAGCTACTGCGACTCGGAGGACGGCCTCGCCGGCTGGGCGCCGTCCGGGTCGTGCACGCTCTCCGCGCACGCCGAGGATCACCCGGCACTCCCTTCGCTGGGAGCCACATTGGCCGCCGCCGACGACGACGACTCTGAGGATGAACTCCAGCAGCAGCGTGCGCGGAAGCCCAGCGGCCGGTGCGTCCTGGCCGCGCACCGCGCGAGCGACACGGACGGGCTCTTCCGCGCGATCTCGCGCGCGCCGAGGCCCAAGGTGACATACCGGGTGGCCGGGTGGGTCGGCGTGGGCACCGCCGTGGAGGGCTCCCACGCCGTTCACGTCGAGGTCCGCGTGGACGATGGCCAGCGGGTCGGTGGCGGCGTGGCTGTGGTCGAGTCGGGGAAGTGGGGCGAGATCAAGGGCTCGTTCCGGGTCGATGACGATGATGAACTACTGCGCCACGCCAAGGTTTACGTTCATGGGCCGCCGGCCGGAGTGGATCTCAAGGTCATGGACCTGCAGGTGTCCGCGGTGAACAAGATTCCAAGGCTCAGGCACCTCAGGAAGAAGGCCGACAGGGTATGCCAACGATGATTCTGTTGTTCATCAGCCTTTTCTCGTATATAATAAACGGCTATGATTTTGAACTTTTGCATATATACTGATTATTAAGTACGGTCGTCACTGCAACTGTACGTAGGTGCGCAAGCGTGACGTGGTCCTGAAAGTGAACCGGCGGACGGACGACGACACGACGGCGAGCGTCGCCGGAGCGCACATCCAGGTGATCCAGGTCCAGAACAGCGTGCCCATCGGCACCTGCATCACCAAGGCGGGCATGCAGAACCCGGCGTACGTGGACTTCTTCGCCAAGCACTTCGACTGGGCGGTGCTGGAGAACGAGCTCAAGTGGTACTACACCGAGGCCGTGCAGGGGCAGGTGAGCTACGCCGACGCCGACGAGCTCATCGACTTCTGCGACCGCCACGGCAAGCCCGTGCGCGGGCACTGCATCTTCTGGGCCGTGGAGAACTCGGTGCAGCCGTGGGTCCGCGCGCTCAACGCCGACCAGCTCCGCGCGGCGGTGGAGGCCCGGCTGCGGGGCCTCGTGTCGCGCTACAGCGGGCGGTTCCCGCACTACGAGGTGAACAACGAGATGCTGCACGGCGCCTTCTACACGCAGCGGCTGGGCGACGACATCAACGCGCACATGTTCCGGGAGACGGCGCGGATCGACCCGGCGCCGGCGCTGTTCGTGAACGACTACAACGTGGAGAGCGGCAACGACCCCAACGCGACGCCGGAGAAGTACGTGGCGCTGGTCACGGACCTGCAGCGGCGGGGCGCGCCCGTGGGCGGGATCGGCGCGCAGGGCCACGTCACGCACCCGGTCGGGGACATCATCTGCGACGCGCTGGACAAGCTCGCCGTCACGGGGCTCCCCGTCTGGATCACGGAGCTGGACGTGTCGGCCGCCGACGAGTCCGTGCGCGCCGACGACCTGGAGATCGTGCTGCGGGAGGCGTACGCGCACCCGGCCGTGGAGGGCATCATGCTCTGGGGGTTCATGCAGGGCCACATGTGGCGCTCCCACGGCCAGCTCGTCAACGCCGACGGCAAGTACACCCAGGCCGGCAACATGTTCGCGGGCCTCCGCCGGGAGTGGACGTCGCACGCGCGCGGGAAGGTGGACGGCAACGGCAACTTCAAGTTCAGGGGCTTCCACGGCACGTACCAGGTGCTGCTTACGACGCCCGCCGGGGAGGTGAAGAAGCGGACGTTCGACGTCAACAAGGGGGATGCACCGCTCGTGCTGGACATGGATTTCTAGTTTTCTATTACAACGTACGTACACATTGATTGGTCACCGGTGATTACGGTTTACGACAAGGATTAGTACGATCTAGTAGTACTCATATATTCGTATATACAAATTATGTGTGGTGTATATTGGATTGGGGTGATGCGTATATAGACATTAATTACAGTGGTGAAGAAAATATGAATCTTTAGTCACAGAGTGTGTAGATGATTGGTACTATTGTACTCGGTATTTATTAAGACAGACTGCAGTAAATAAATGAAAGAATTATCTTTTTTAATACACGTTAATATACGCGTTTCTTAGCGAATGGGTGCACGCAACGAGTTATGGGTTTTATAATTGGATTTCGCAGAAACTTCTTCTATCGGCTTAATGGGCCCTCAAACCAACTGTAATAGGCTGATAATGGGCCACTGCAATTGCAATTAAATGGGAGCAGACAAAACAAAAGAAGCCCAGCCTTGGACCAGAGTTCCCAGTACTCTGCTTTCCGATCAATGTGTTTGCTTTAGGTGGTGCTAGCATAGCATAATACGAAGAAAAAGATTGGCTCCGTGGATATGGACTACATGGCCTCCGATACTCCCCACTTACTGCATCGATTCCCAGTGGGAGGTAAAAAAAAAACACGATGCCTGTTTAGATCCTAGGCTAGAAATTAGCCCACCTTGTAAAAATAGGTTAAACATAAGCTAATTATAGGCTAATAAGGATAATAGACTCTAACCACCAATTAGCCCTTATTAGCTCTTATTAGCCTAGAATTAGCACGCATTTAGACTTTCTAATTGTTATCGAAAACAAGAGTTTATTAGCTCCCTGATCCAAGCACCCCCTGTAACATGTTGGAGCAGATCTTGCATCGGATACTAGACTAGTACAAAATAGATTAGCCGGTGCAAGCATTAAGGGCTTGTTTCGTTGAAATCCTAGTGGCAATCAGGCATCAGTCTCAACCTTCGGCAGTCAAAATCCAACCAAACAATCTATTTCAGCTGTAAGAGCATCTCCAAGAGTTCCCAAGAATTCATTTCCAAAACCATGAAATTTTCCAACTTGTCCAAAAGTATTGGGACCAATAAATAAGATCATCTATATCAGGAGCATCAAGAATTATTTCCTACTCTTTATTATTTCTCCTGTCCTTCCGTCTTTAGATTAGCCCGAAAGGATACGCGCGATCGCCGCGGGAGGGGATATTCGCATCGGGCGATCTATGGATATATCCACGTGTTTGGTGATTTTTTTCAAGTGCCAAAAGATCGCGAAGTGGGATTAGGAACTCTTGGAGATGGGTTTTTTCCATTCTTGCTAAAAATCCTAAATTGGGAAGCTTTATTGGGAACTCTTATAGATGCTCTAACTCAAACAACTCTTAAATAATAGGTAAATCTACTCTGGGACACTGAACAAAGATGTAATTGACTAGTCTATAGCGTGAACACCCAAAGGAATTTGCTAGAGCATGTTACCTCAATTCTCTCTATTGGTTGTTATAAGGGAGGGGTGGGGGTTTGAAAGGGCCTCTATCTGAGTTGGTTAGGTGGTCTGAGTAGCACTCCTCGAGTCTCCGGTCGTGGTCGTTGTCACATGCGCTACAGTGCCACTTTGTATGAGTGGGGCAACAGTTTGAAGGTTTTTTTCGACCATGTGAGAAGGTCTGCAGGTCGAGTTTTTTATAAGGAAGAGGCTGGTTTTAACCAATCTATTGAAATTACTCAAATGTGTTTACAAATTACAAAGCATGCACCGAGTACCGAAAACATAAAACACAAAACATCCATTCGTGAGGTCAATGTTAAATATTTATAGCACCAATGGTCTGAGTGGCTTGACCAATCAACGACGAGATGCCCTTCTCCATCAAGCCGTGTCAATGGAATAATCATAACAAGTCGTCCTGCCTCAACAAAGTACTACTAGTAGTAGCAAACAATTAGTAGTTATGCTTTCAGGATTGGAGTGTCACTTTATGCTTTCAGGAGAACAAAAGAGAAGAGGAGAACATGTCAAAATCTTATGTTCGCCCAATTGCTGCCTGGTCGGTCCAGTTACGTGCAAACTAGCGATACTCTACCAGACTACAGAATGCACCAATAGCCAGAGTTAAATAGTACTACATGGTTAGTTTACATGATCATCACAGGTCTTGCATACATGGGTGATCAAAGTCTAGCCACTGTTTCTTGCCACAGCACGAGATTGACAGCGTCTTTCTTCCTTTTCTTTGTGAAATGGGAGCGTCTTTCTTCTTAATAAACGAATGCTTTGACAGTTTATCTCATGCTTCAGAAATGACTCTACCACATCCAGTAATAGTCGTCAGCCAAGGCAGGATGAACTGTTCAGGATTGTTGAGAAAGAGAGAGACCTATCAGAGAGGGAAGGGATTTGCATTCGTGCATGTATCAGTGGACAAATCAGGGAGATGCATGTCTGTCTACGTGGGAGAATTTGTTTCATGTGGCATAATTCAACGCGGTTTGCGCGTATTCAATGATAACGACGTCTACTCGTTCTGACGGAACACTCGATCATTATAACGCCTGGGCCGGGTAAATTTGCGACCAAAGCAAAGCATCTGTTTATTGTTGGGTCTCGTGATCCCGTCCGTCTACAGCTCGCAGCCGCACTAAAACAGACGAATTTTGGCACAAAGTGGCCACCAACAAACCTGAATCTTAAAAAGGATCTTCTTTTTCATCTTGTTGTTTGTTTCCTTCGACTTGGTTTGGTCTTGTCAGTACTAAGAACACGGTCTTGTACACACGCATCGGAACTTCAGTCAGTCTGTTCGGGAGGCCGTATCGTATCGTGGATTATTTATTTCTTTGGCTGGTTTGGTGTGAGAGAAAAAACACTGCTTCCAGCTTGAAATTTCTGATCGTTTACGAGCAAGCGAACAGGCTCAGTATACTCGGGGTCTCAAGTTTACACGCGGAGATGTGCTGACGAACCAACCAAGATTGGCATGCATGCTCCTTGTGCAACCTATCTTTGTCAAGAACAGTATTGAACAATCCTCCCCAGTAACTATCTCCAGCCTCTGTCTCTTATATTTCAGAACAGATAGACCGGCCGCAGCACGCGTCTAGGCGTTGTCCTCGTCTTCTCGCGCCGGTAGGTCATATCAGGCAGCGCCAACATCTTCGGCCGATCGATCTGCAGGTGGTACTTGCGATTGCGAGGCATGGTCACCGGCTCACCGCGGAGACCTATGCCAGGAACGGCAGATTCTTCGTTCGATACCTCTTCTTGCGGATTTGAGCGGCTGATGACCCAAAATTTCCACGATTGCTGCTGCTGCTCTGCACTTTGTGCCTGACAAGTCCCAAGTGGACGACCGACCAGGGGGTTTCTTCTAGCTAGCGGAGCCGTGGACTCGAAAATCTTCTCTGAACGAATGCACTGCCGTCTCCGTGACCGTACGTACGCTTCTCCGCACGACCGCACCTGCCTAAGGCTAGTTGCAGTTTGTTTGCAAAGTGTGACTTCGACTGCGAAAAGAGTCGTGCCGCTGCCGCGCGCGCTGGGCATCTGACCCGGATCACTGACGACCGCACTGGCTAGCCACTGCTGCGGTGCTGCCACAGCAAGTTTTCCAGGGAGTTTTCGTTTTTTTTCCCCTGAACGAAGAGTCCTTGAGTTTTCGAGTCTAGAATTTGATCGGAAGTTGCAAGAGAATTGTGACTTTAATTTTAAACGTATAATTTTTTTTCTGATATCCATTTTTATACCTTTATTTCATTCGAGATTATAGTTGATATCTTTTTGCACTTAATCTAGTACAGTATTAAATTAATCGATCAGGGCATGTCGCAGATTGTCAAACACAAGGAGCATAATTTATAATCTCGTCCAATAAACAAGAGCATACGCAGCCCCGCCTTGCTTTGCTTGCCCACCTGCTGCCCAGCACACCTCACCGTCGCCGGGGCGTCGGCTACTAGAGCCACCCTCACTGACCCTGTGACCCACATCTCTGATCTGTCTCTGCCAGTCGGACCACAATCTCTTGCGACCCCAGATGATTTTTCCTGAGCCTTTCTCTCCGTTCCTGCAGTTTTGAACCTACAGCTGTGCCGCTGCTGTACGAACTTACTCGCGCGCTGCCGTGGCTGCTGCCGCGACGTATTTGGAACGGACCTGCCTGACAAATGCCACTAGATCTGCTTCTTTGTACCATGACAGTTTGGTCGCAACGGCGTCCTATGTGCATGGTGTTTGGACTCTGGGGAAATGACAAATGGCCACGGATGGTTGTTGCAAAGGGCGACATGTTTGTCCGTCTCCTTGTAACCTTGTTTCGTCCAGAATCATGGTTCTAAATCGAACCCTAACCCATTTAGCGGTGGCTTCCTTTACAAGCTACAGGAAGCTATAATGGAATATAGAGGAAATAATTTTATTTAGTAGGTTTATTAAAAAAATATAAAAAAATCAATTAGTTATACACAGGAATAATTTTGTTTAGTAGTTTTATTAAAATATGAAAAAATCCAATTAGTTATATTTAGGAACGTAGAATTAACACCCCGCTTGGATGTCTATATTAAGGCCAAGAATTTAGAATTGGAAATGGCAAACCCGAATTCCACGTGCTTGGATGGTCATGGCATTGGAGTCTGAAAACTGCGCTCGTTCTCGGGCGGCATTCCCTTCACCTAGCGCACCCCCGTATTGGCTGGAATCGCATCCCCTCCAACTCTAGCTTCGCACATCATCTCCAAGTCCGGCGCCGGCAACTGCAGTCCTCACTGTCCCCCTGCCCCCTCACGCCAGCCCCTCCGTCCTCCTCGCCGGAGCTCCTCCACCCCCTTGGGCTTCGGCAAGGTGCGGCCTCATGCCCTTCGCGTCATGCCTATTGAGGTCGATGCACTCAGGGCGGCCAACTCTTGTATGTTCTTGGCACGACTTCTTGCAAGCGACTCATGATTACCATCACTTGTGTTAGATGGTGAAAGATCTTCATGTAATGGAACATAACGAGATAGGATGTCCTCATC